TTTGCCGGACCGTGTATATTTATACGGTAGCTAAACTCTATAATGAGATGCATTTCTAACAATGTCAATATACCTCCTCTAGCACGATGAAAATGGTAAATCTTGGGTTAACATATCGAAAAAAGGCTAAAAAACAAAATTCAACTCATCCTTTTACTTTACGAAAGAATAATTATTTTGCGGAATTTTTGTTTCGGAAGGCATTCGAGTTGCCGAACGTATCATCAGATTGCAATTTGAAGGTAATTTTTGAATTATTTGGACAAGTTTACTTAGGAGCAGTCACATGTTGCGGGGCCTAATATTTTCCAATGCCATGAGTACAGAAAAAAGGAAATATTGCCAAAAAATCAAACATTCACATCTTTTCCGAACTTTAAACGCCTCTCTGCGAACAGTTCGACCTAGTAGAAAATTTTATACAAAGGCCTATCCGACCAATCTAGAAGTGAGAGACAAAACTCCATTTATATGGGCAGTTAGGCTGGTCCATCTCCTTTAGGAGGTGAAACTAGACCCTCTGAGAAAAAAGTCATTCAAACAAGTTCATACAATTAATCCATAGACATTATTTTCCTGCCCTACCGATAGTGCATCTGGATACCTAATTCGCACAGACGTGACACCGCAGTAGCGCGGTCAGAGCATAGAAAACGTGATGTTCATGTCATATAAAATCTAAAAAACATAATATCTCATTTTCGAAAGTTTTGCGATTACAATACTTCCCCGCAAGTAGGCGTGGAAAGTAAAAGTTTATTTTGTTTATTATTCGTTTCGGAGGACATTTGAATTGCCAGCCCAATAATCCAGTGAGAAATTTAGAAAAAATCAGGTTTCACTGAGATATCTACCGAAAGAATTCGAGGGGGTACTCAAAAAAAACCGGAATTATTTTTTAAAAGCTATTTATTTTCAACTTTGTCACAAAGTAACCTTATCTCGTTCAAAATACTGTCCACTACAACTAATACACCTGTACCACCGGTGCTTCCACTGCTCGAAACATTTTTTAAAGTCTTTCTTTGAAATGTCTGACACCTCCTCCCTGGTTTTTTTCTTGACCTCTTCAAAGTCTCCAAAGCGGCATCCTGTCATGCCCCTTTTTCATCCGTGGAAATAAGAAAAAGTTGCACGGAGCCAGGTCAGGCGAATAAGGTACGTGAGGCAGCGAAACCATGCAATTTTTAGCCAGAAACGTGGTTGAAGAGCCATTCTCCTGACTGCCAAAAATCTGGTCTTTTTTGCCGAACATTATTTCGCAATAGTCTTAAAACCTTCAATTAGCACAAGCTCTCGAATTTTTTCAACATTTTCGTCGATTCGGGCAGTTGATGGACGTCCAGAGCGAGGTTTGTCATCAATCGACATGTGGCCATTTTTAAATCGAGCAAACCACTCGTACACCTGAGATTTTAACATACCATCTTCTTTGTAAGCTATTTTCAACATTACAACAGTTTCAGCAGCATTTTTACCAATTAGAAAGCAAAATTTCACAGCCTCACGTTGCCCACTGAAGCTTTTTAAACAAGAACGAAACAGCTCTAGCAAAAATAATGACTACAGAGGAACGAAACAAGCCAGATCGACTACTCAGATGTCACTGAACTGGTAATGAGTTGTGCTGTATGCCTCTAGGGGCAGAAATGTTTACTACACAAGCTCCGTCCACTGCAATGCTATTTCGGTTATTTTTGCGTACCTACTCGTATATTATGGGGCCTAATGCTTCCCAATGACAGCAGTAGTGAGTTAAGGGAAAAGTTGCCTAAACAAATTCTCATTTTTGCTAAGCCTTCAAATAATGAGCGTATCTCCAGACCACTCCGGTCGACCTAGGATCCTGAAATTTTACAAAGCCTTATGCCCCCATAGGTACTCTCCAGGAAAAAAATTGAGCCCGATCTGAGATATGACCCGACAACCCAGATCATGGGATTTTAGTTTTGATATATAACGTTTCACGGCATCTCTGGATGATAGTCGGCTTCGATGAGACTGACAAGTATCTCCCACCACATAGGCGTCTCCACACTCAAGGAAGCACATGCTCACTCACCATGCTACCAACTTAAACTTACTATGCAAAAGGTGCGTAAACTCAACGCGTGTAGAATATGATGTTTGCTTTCCGTCTCTGTGACAATAACCAACCGTATACAATGTTATTTCGTGCAACTAGTCAACAAGCGAATATGGGTCTCCTGAAAAAACTAAGTACTGTAGTACGTGGCAGTTGTCCGCTTCATCAAAGTAGATTACTTCAGTGTCGCCAAGAAAACTTGTGTACTACCCAATATTGACGTAGGATTCGGTAGTCCTGCGTTTGGCGAACTACACATAGGTTGCGTTATCACCCCTTCGCGTACTACAGTACTGTTTTTCAATACACTCATACTCGCTTGTTGGCTTTCCGTTGCCTATCTCCAAATACTAGACCGATACCAAAGCGGCAGAAGCCTAAACACCAGCGCGCCGCAGCTGCTATAAGGAGCTTGAAGACACTTTGTTTATACGATTTTTGAACTGCCTAAGATCGTTCCACAATCTCGCCAGCCTAGGGATAAAGGAGCGGTTGTATCGTCCAGTTCTGGATGTATGAAGTTCGACACGGTTAGTATGGGAGACCTTAGCCAGGGGCTCATCGCGTTGCGGCACTGAAGAAGAGAGCTGTGAGAGAGTCAGATTCTGGGGAATATCCGCACACTGACATTATGGGATAAGGTTTTGCAGTTCTGTATTCCTAACCGACATCAATTCAAGTTATAATTTTTTGGGACTCGGTCAAACTTAAAGCATTTATTAAAAATACGATGTTTTGGTGACTTTAAACGCCGCCTTCAGGAACATTTGAGCCTCTAGAACAGAAACAGTTTTCTGTTATTCTCCTTAGCAAGTCGTTTGTATTTTCTTAAAAGGTTCATCATATCATTATTTCTGTTGAGGTCCATTTCCACCCAGGACTATAGTAACTTTGTAGCTTTGTATTAATGGCCGTTGGTTGATATCAATTTAAGTTACAAGTGCTTGGAATTCACTTAGTTTAAAATATTTATTCAAAATAGGACGTTTCCATGACTTTAAAACTTTAAATTTGACTTAACTCACAGGTACCTGAAGATGGCATTTAAAGTCGCCGAATCGTGGTATTTTTGATAAAAGTTTTAAGCTGACCTAATCCCAAGAACTTATAACTTGACCCGCCGATTACAACGGATATCTTGCGGTCAGAGAGGAGGTCAGCCACCCATATCTGCAAAGCTTCTCTGCCATACCATACAATGGAAGTTTCTATAAGAGGGCAGCATGTCATAGCTAATTTAAAGCTTTCACGATATCAAGAACAATGACATGAGCCTCACCATATGACTGGATATGTTTGATTCACAGTTGCGTGACGTAAGATATGAGGTCTCCCGTTTATAACTGGTACCGGAAACCAAACTGCCTGTCGCTAAACAAGCCGTGCTATTCAAGACACTCCAAAAGCTCCCAACCAATGCACCTCTCCATAACCTTACTTTTAACAGAAGACAGAGCTATAAGCCTGTAGTTATAAATGTCAGTCTTAGGTCCTTTTTGGGATGTGAGTAAATTTCCAATTTTCTGGAAGCAAGGTCATTGCACCGCTCTTCAGTACAACAGTAGGAATAAAGTCCATACTAGAAGTCTTGGAGTAGGCAGCAGAGATCTTGGTAAGCAATTCCGCCTTAGCCTATCAGTCGGTTACAATTGTTCCATCCTGGCACGTAAGCCATAGAAGGATACTCTTTGAGAAGTTCCCTTGGCCAGCGTCCTTAAAAATTCACTGAAATTGCACTGCTACATCACCCTGTGCGTAATTTTTGCATTTTACCGGACTTTGGCATTGCGAGCGGCTTCGTTATATTTGTTTGTAATCGACATCGGCGGCTTGCCTATTTTCTACAGCGGGTCTGTGTAAGGAGGTTCTGTGTGTCTTGATTTTCTAGTGATGAGGAGTGTCGCACGATCTGTTGAACCAGCCGCTAGACACTGGTTTAGGCACTTTCATTGTATGAAGAATTCTCTATTCCAACGTGAATAATTCCAATTATTAACGAGCAGATAGACACGACACATCAAGGTCAGCGAAACAAACTTCTTCCAAAGGAACGGCGGAGAAAAAGTCTCCCAGCTCGCACCAGTCAGCACGTCCGTAATGTCAGAATGTGTGAGTTTTTGCTGACATTGCCGGTTCTGAATGAATATTGACCTCTATAACACCATAGTCTGAGTTATCCATGGGAGACAAGGCAGCAGTGTGAGGGACAGGATGCGTGGCCAGAAAGAGATCCAGCAGGCCACTGGCATGTGACGACATACGGGGTAAAAGATCAGGGTTAGTCCTTGGGTAATGGCGAATGCTTCAAAAGCTCGACCTGCTGCGTCAATATTGTTTGAGGCCGAACATGAATTCGTTATGGGTATTGAAATCATCAAGGCGGGCGACCTATAGAGCAAGGTGATTGATGTTCCAGTCGTCGATTTTAACAGCGAAGTATTCAAGTAGGTCGCTTCAGTTATGGTCAGTACTGATAATTGCTTAAAAGCATGAAACAATTTTATACATGGTTGGTTATGGTCACAGAGATGGAAAGCAAGCGGAAGCTATTCAGCTTTATGCAACTTTTGCGTTAGTACGTCAAAGCATGGTGACTGCTAGTGGTCCCTTGAGTGACGAGATGATACTTATCCGTTTCATCGAAATGTACTGTCATTCAGAAATGTTGGCAAACACCATGCAGTATCCTGCTACAGACCGTACCGCGTGTGGCGAACTACTCACTAATGGCAGTGTCACCTCGTTGCGCATTTGCTAGTGTATTACGATGGCAAGTAGTATTAGGTACGAGTACGTACAACATAGGAATCTAGGATTCCACCTCTGCATGTTGTTAATGTTTTATGTTTACAAATCAAAAAACCATATCGAATGACTATAATAAGAACATTGATGCTGTTTTGCTACAACTTACCATGTTGTATTGACATCCCAAGTCATGCACAGCAAGGCGTTGATGCACATATCTCCTGGGACAATGTGAGATTTGATTTTACCATCAGCATGCACAAGCCTCAGAAGTCCTGCACTAGAATACAGAATAATACCTAGCGGTCCATATAGGTTATCAGACCACCCAGGAACTGGTTCAGAAACTGTTGATGTAACTTAAAATAGACAATAACAAACTTTTATTTTGAGGATTACAAGCAATAAGATATATTTAGTGAGTATAAAATGATAAAAAAACAAAATGTTGCTGAACAAGTATTACTTATATGCCAAAAAAAGAGCTTTTGTTGATGGGTTTTTATATCATCTACCCTAGAAGCAATATCAATTATTGAGTTATAGCTAGCGTTTTTATTATTCAATTAAACTTGATGTGCTGATTTGACCGATAAGCTTTTAGATTACATCCTTATTTCTTGCACATCTCGCGCACTCTGAATACATTTCGAATATAAAGGTAACTATTTTATTGAAAGATTGATTTCTTTAATCTCCCATGTTTGTCTTCTTTAATGTATACTTTTCGGTTACAACGGTGACCTTCTGCAGTGCATGACACACGATAGTATTTTATTTATTTGTCGTCCAGCTGATACTACGTTTGTTTTTTTCAGTTTCAAATTCTATAGTGTGTTACTACATTAGAATAAATCCCAAATTTTAAGATGGCCTCACGCCACCAAAAGGCCGTATCGTCCTCCAAAACGACAAGCAAGTATGAGGCTATCTATCGATTTTTTAATTGACCAGATACGCCACCCTCGTTTAATGCCTGCACTTCACTATAGGCGATGATCGTTGATTGTGTGATCGTTCATAATAGGCACGATCATCGTACAAGCATCCACATGAGCGACCGTAGTAGTTTGTCAAAAGCATCAATATGATCCGCCGATTCCCTCTGACGCGTGTCCGAGAAAACGAACAATTCACGGGTCGAAGGCGATCATAGACGATGATCGGCAAGTACAGCCACGTACAGCCCAGTATGCCCTCTACACGATCGTGCTCGCGTGTAATCGTTTGTAATCGCCGATTGTGAAGAGGAACCATAATGTTGACTTCGCATGCTATGGACAATCGTGCTACGGACAATCGTAGTAACACACTGTAAATAAATCAAGACTGGAAAAGGTCACAGTTGTGACCGAAACGTATACTACATTAAATGATTTCAAATATATAGGTTTTTTCAAAGACGAGTAATTTATTTTAACAACTTGTAGAACTCGTGAAAAGAAGATGATCTACAAAAAACCACTATATAAAAATTGCATAATAAGAGTTAGTTTACATTATTAAAAATTATTTAAAAAACATCATTATCAAGTTAAATAGATACTGATTTTACGAAAACTGTTCAAAATTGACCTCATTTGTTCGATCAACGCAAACTCTTGTTCGGCGAATCCAGGACTCTTTACAAGCTTCGAAAATTAAATCCTGGTATGCACGAATTAAATCGCAAGCATTTTCAGGGCGCTGTTGAAGTTCTTCCACAGTATTTTCTGCTCCATCATTAAACACCAACTCTTTTAAATAGCCCCACAGAATAAAATCGCAAGGCATTAAATCTGGAGCGACCAGGCCAAGAAATGGGTCCATCGCGCAATATCCTTCTATTCGGAAACTCATCATTTAGATGTTCATGAACTCATGTGGTGAAGCCCCATTATGTAGGAACCACATATTCTGTCTTGTGGCAGATTTGGTCGAAGATAATCTGAATAAATTTCGCCGGTCAGTCGAGGTGGAAAAAGGTAGGGTTCAATCAGCACGCCATTTACCACGCTTGTACCCGTTGATAGTGATAAGGATGATACTGTTCTCGTCATATTGTCTTCCACATTTTACAATGAGAAACTTCAACTTGAGTTGATATGGATCTAGTACTCATTGCTGGGTCGTCTTAGACCATTTCTAAAATGTCTTCGTCAATTTGTAACATTACAGGTTGACGTCCTCGTTGTTCTTTTAAATTTAGTCTAAAAAAAGAAATTAACAAACATCCGTGGGGCCGGATAATTTCGTAAAGGAAACCTTTCCGCACACAATCTGCATGCTGCGGCTGCATTATGTTGGCACTCAAGTAATCAGACAAATGAAGGTATACATAGTATTGAAAGACTGATACAACTGATCGGACAAAACACTCGCACTGAAAACCAAACAATAACACTACTGATTTGCCAAATATAGATAAACGATAAGTGTAGTAAACATAAAACGCTAAGATTTTACACGGCAGTGGTCGAGAATATCAAAAAATCTGTGTAATAACATTCTTATTTTTAAAAATTTTTAATCTTTTACTATTTCTTTTATTATGCAACTTCTATATACGTGATTTTTAGTATATAAACTCCTTTTGACGAGTCCTACAAGCAGTTAAAATGAATGACTCAACTTTGAAAACACTCAGTATGTGATTTCATTGGCCATACAAACATGGGGGACCATCGACATAATAACCACAGGATAAGTTTCCGATGTTACATTGATTTCGTTAATGTGCTCAAAAATACTAAAAGGGCTTAAACGTGTATTCTTTGCTAATCCATGTCTTACCTGTCGAGCCGTCAAAAATGGAGAAATAGTTCTTTTACAATACCTCCATTTCAACACTCTACGAAAAAAGCAGTTCTATGATAAATCAAACTAAATAAACTTTAATGTAACATCAGAAACTTATCCTGTGGTTTTCATGCGAATAATCCTCTTTATTTGTCTGGCCGCTAAATCAAACCACATGTTTGGATACTGCTTACTAACTTAGTTTGTTATACCTAGAGCTGCTCCCATCGTAATTTGTTGTATTATAGAGGCGCAGACGAAAAATAATGCCCAAACCTGGTGTTGTTATCCAAGTTCCAATAACACCTCTAAAATTACCATCAACTACAAAAAATGTAACTTCGGATGTGTCTTAACTAACTAGGTAGCAAATATAATTATAGTATACGATAATGTAGATGTAAATGCTTCAGGGTTATCAACATAATACTCATGCAAATTGGTATCATGCTTTAGTCGGTCAACGAATTGGAATCGGTTCTATATATGAAAAGGCCTTTCCCATCTTAGCTCGTTCTACTTTATATGTATCTAGTTTTATATTTTGTTTCACGTATATCCTATCGAGTTGGATTAATGCAGCCCTTTTGATTATTTTTTACTGTACCATCGATGTACGAGAGCTTACCTATTGTAGGTCTGAATATCCCCGCAGGGAAATGAATATCGTCGGAAAGTAACAGAGATTCAGCGACAGCTTTGGAGTAGACATAGGAGTTTGGCCAGCCACCTGTAAACCTTGAACAAATATTCGTTCGGTATTCTAAACTTCTCATATGTTTGAGGCACTTTGAAATACAATTATTCACATACTATAGTACCATAGTATGAGATTGTCTGAGTTTCTTTATTTTTTAAGTTGCAGTAGAATTAGAATAACTTTTACTGTAGTTGTTGGAGTTGGTGGTTGAAAGAATTTTAGCAAAGTAATATTGATTAGAGCAAAATCTCAATGAGTTTTTATTAGTAAGATATAAGGTCTAGTCATTGAAGACAAACAGCGGAAAGCAAACAAGCGGATGTAGCTTTACTAAAAAACTCGGTATGTAGCACGTGAAGGGGTGAGGTGTGAGTAGCAGACAGATCCAATTTAGCATATGATTAGTTTATGCAGCTTTTGCATAGTATGCCATAGCTGGTAGCATGGTGAGTATACTGAGAAAATGTGGCCAATTAAATAGTTTTCCTGAAAAATGTACACTACCCGTAATGAATGTTTTAATTGTACTAACTAAATTATTCAGCTTAATTAAAATGACTTTTCTGGAACAATAATGGAAAGTAATATACCATTAAACTAATTTGGTTGAAAATATAATACCATGTACCTGTTCCATTAAACTGCATAACTAGTATATGTAATTTAGCTTATGTAGAAAAGGTACATTTGAAACAAGTAAACATTCTAATAGAAACAGTAAAACTTTATTTAAACCGCCTACTCGGCGAGACTCTGTTTTATTTCTGATTTTCGCCAGGAGCTTCATCCAGGAACCCTGGCTCAGAAACGGTCGCAGTTTACCGGGATATTCGCTTTTTAGCGATACACCCGACATTAGTGTCGGCAAGCCCAGAGCTTGCGTAATGACTAGCATTAATACATGGCAACTTAAAGACTTCAGCTCCAGAGACTTAGTTGCAGTTAGAATTAGATATAAGAAGAAAGGAGCTGACAACGATCTGGTCGTATGTTCACCACACCTTCCTTACGATTCAAGGGAACCACCTCCGTCTAAGGAACTGGGGGACCTTGCCGCATATTGCAGGGATTCTGGACTCGACCTCGTGATTGGATGCGACAGCAATGCTCACCACATCATGTGGGTACACTCAATTTAGCTCAGGAGATTTGAGACTGGAAAGTGTTTCTAACACCCTCTCTATCGGATCACAGGTATATACTGTTTAAGACTGATGTACAGATTCCAGATAAATATGCTTGATATGCTATGCATACTAACTGCTTGGAGGGGTCCCATACAGTCAGACCCGAAATGCATGCGCATATGCAACCACAAAGGTAGATACACATGCCCATACAGTCGGTTACGGGTGTAACCTGAGGAAACTAAGATGGAGAGAGAAAAAAATGAGATACGAAGTCCACAACAAGATCCAACCTACACATTGTAGTATAAAATGCCTAGAAGACCTCAAATTTAAAATGGCGACATCTAACCATAACTAGGCGGCCGATTATACCCACTTGCTGTGGTACTTCAAGTCCAAAGGATCTACAAAAAGAAAATGATCATGCGGATAACAAAAAATAGCAAAATGATAATAATAATAATAAATTGCTTTTATTGCTCATGTAAGTACAGAAAAAAAAATACACAAATCTGAAGCAATGAGCAAACGGCAAGGTTCGCTTGATTGACAATCATACTTGATAAAATTATAACAGCAAGAGAATAGTTAAACGTTAACACAGATAGATATATACATATTATGTTTTAGAACTATACAGGGTGACTTCGAAGTTGAGTCATTTATTTTAACAGTGAGTAGATCTGATCAAAAGAAATGTTTTTTCCTTTACCATTTTTCTGGTGAAATTAAAGTAACAAAGTTATAGCCCTTTGGAAGTTTGAGTACCGCCCTGTGTCAATAATGATATCATGTGCTCGTGTTTGGCAACAACGGATATAATCCGCCTTACCGGTTCATCGCATCGGAAACAAAAAAGCGAAAGAATTTGGAACGATGTTTTTACAATAAATTATTTTATTCAGTTCAGTTATACATACAGTCAGTGTCAGTCGGTTAGCGTGTGAATAGTGTCTGTTGCGTGGCTCAAACGAAATAAAAAATGGCACATATTTATGCGGATCGGTTTCCCAATCGAGTGCAACCAATCCCTCGTGCCTTTGTTAATGTAGTACAACGGGCTCGTGAATCAGGTGACTTAAGACCTCACAGGGAACCTCACGATCAAATACAGGTCCGCACTGAAATACTTGTCGGGAGGATACTTTATAAAACAAGGTAAAATTTTTTTTTTTATTTTTTTTTATTTTTACACACATATTCTGGTTTATCTTCCTTCTACAATCATTATCTGAAAATTAATGACTCAACTTCAAATATATTACATTATACATCCCTAGGTCATATATAACTGTTGCAGGCAGCTCGGTAAAACCTATAATACAAAACGAGTTGATGTTTGAATGGAATTCCTAGAAGTTGTAGCTAATATCTTATGAAGGTAAAATGTCAAAGAACAAAAGAAAAAGACATACAGAAGAATAATTGGCAAATCAGCGTGCAGTGTAAAATTTAAGTCATCTCAAGTCTCAACATAGTCTTCACTTCTCGCTTAAATCTCAAAATGGATACGGCTTTAATTGTATCAGGCAGCAAGTTGTAAACCTTAACTATGTCATATGAGAAAGAGCACTTATAATTTGAAGTGTTAAATTTATGTAGTGAGAGATGATATTTAAACCTCGTGTTACGACTCTGCAATTCTGTACGGGTCTTGATCTTCTTGTAAAGATAGAATGGTGATTCAGTATTGATTATCTTGTGGTATAGAACGGATAGATGAGGGAACCTTCTTTTCTCTATATTGAGACAATCTAAGTTCTTTAAGTGAAGAGATATCGACTGCCGCCTCCTAATACCATTAACAGACCTGACAAGAATTTTTAATACGCTCGATGTAGCAATCACGGGCCGAACACGCCGTCTGCATAGCTGAGGTAAGCAAGAACTAAAGACTCGCACAATATTATTTTGGTTGTCTTGGTAGTATGCTTCTGCTATTGTATAGCAGTTTCAAAAATGAAAACGCCCTTTTGGTTAGAAGAGAGACTTGCTGCGAAAAGCGTAGATCTGTATCCATAACAACCCCTACTTTTTTAGCCGAGTTTGTGAAAGTTATTTTGTCTTGTCCGAAATAAATGTCTAAATTATTGGAGTATAGTTCACGATTCTCTTTTTACCAAATAGTAGAGCCTTGGATTTAGTGGCGTTGACGGAGAGACAAAATTTTTTGGTTAACTGATAAAGAACCTGAATGTCCTCATTTATGTTAGGTAATTAAAGTTCGGTTCGTATCTGATTCATCAACAGGAATATATAATTGAGTGTCATTAGCGCAATAGTGATATGAGACGTGTTTAAAACTTTTGTGCAGCTTAGAGGTATATACTTTGAAGTTGAGTCATTAATTTTCAGATAATGATTGTAGAAGGAAGATAAACCAAAATATGTGTGTAAAAATAAAAAAAAATATTACCTTGTTTTATAAAGTATCCTCCCGACAAGCATTTCAGTGCGGACCTGTATTTGATCGTGTGGTCTTGGAGCACCGGCATGCCCTCCCCTTTGAGGTCTTAAGTCACCTGATTCACGAGCCCTTTGTACTACATTCAGCATTTTCGTAAACATGTGCCATTTTTTATTTCGTTTGAGCCACGCAACAATCACCTCTATTCACTCACGCGTTACCGACTGACACATTGACTAAATACAACTGAATAAAATTGTACATTGTAGTAAAAACATCGTTTCAAATTCTTTCGCTTTTTTGTTTCCGATCCGATGAACGGATAAGGCGGATTATATCCGTTGTTGCCAAACACGAGCACATAATATTATTATTGAGACAGGATGGTACTCAAACTTCTAAAGGGCTATAAGTGTGTTACTTTAATTTTACCAGAAAAATGTTTAAGGAAAAAAATGTTTCTTTTGATCAGATCTACTCACTGTTAAAATAAATGACTCAACTTCGAAGTCACCCTGTAGAGTGTACAAGAGTGGACCTAAAACAGATCCTTGTGGTGCACCTCGACAAACGTTAGACAGTTCGGATGTTTCACCAAAGCATTTGATAACTTGTGTCCGATCTTTGAGGTGATTTCTTAATAAATGAACCGCACTTTTAGAAAAACCCAAGTAGTGAAGAATAGCAATTAGTAGATCATGCCTTCGAAAAATGTAGTAAGATTACGATGCATAGGTTGCCATCATGATTGATTTTCTGGAAGAATGTCATTTTTAGCAACAAAGTCCCTCATTCTAGCATCCAAAATCATTTCGAAGACCTTTGATAGAGTACATACGATGCTGATGGGTCGAAGCTTCCAAAGTTTGGGTATTACATTGAATTTTAGATAATAGCATGCTGATACTTATACCATCGGCACCAATAGCTATTGATTTCACTGAAAGCTATTTTTGATATACTTCATCGGTGTATGGAAACTCAAATGCTTCATGGGGAGTTGCGTGTCGGCGAAGAATCGAAGAGTGTACTGGTCAGGTTCATTATTATCACACGAGACTGATTGCATGAGTGTACTGGTCAGGTTCATTATTATCACACGAGACTGATTGCATGAAGAAGTTATTGATTTGGTTTGCAGTTCCTAGGTGTTGAGGTAGTGAGTTCTGTTTTTTATTAACTATATTCAATTTTCCACATGCGGTTTTTATTCAATGCAACTCGTTGTTCAAAGTAAACTTTCTTTTCTTTGTTAATCGCGTGGTTAATTTTGTTCTTTAGTGTATTATAGCCTAACCAATCATTGAGATTCTTTGTACGATGATACTCTCTCAGTGCCTTATCTCTCAGTTTCATCATTTGTTTTAAATTATAGGTAAGTTAAGGTGACTGTTGGGGTATTTTCCAACTAGTTTTCTAAGAAGTGGACTGTATCTACATTGTAATGATATGGTTACAAATATGTGTGTGTCTTGCTTGACGTTCCGCGCAGAAGTCCTTT